CCACCGAGGTTTGCATTTTCTTACTCTTTTTCCTTTGATTTTTGGTGTTTTTGAGTCTCAGAGTCATGTGTCGGTTTTTGAGTGAAAACAGGTTGAATTCAGGGCTCCAGCACTGTGCACGGCCAGGCCACCAACTTGCACGGCCGTGCGAAATTTTTCCCTGGCCGTGCAAGCTCTCGGTAAAAATCGCACGGCCAAAAGTGCATGTTGCACGGCCGTGTGATTCCGCCTGGCCTGGCCGTGTGGCCGACACGGGCAAAAAATTGTCTCGCACGGCCGTGTGAAATTTTCCCCCTGGCCGTGCGAGCTCTCGGCAAAATCCGCACGGCCAAAAGTGCACATTGCACGGCCGTGCGGATCCCCTCGGCCAGGCCGTGTCGGCCAGCACGGGCAAAAGCACCCCATGCACGGCCGTGCCAGCCTGCCCGTGCGGACGACGCACGGCCTATAAATTCGGCCAGCACGGCCGAGCAGGTCAGATTTTTCAAAAACCTCGCCGGAATCCTCTGTCCTCGCCGGAAAACCGCGACAAAACCCCCATTTTTTCGATTTTTTTCGGCCACTTTGGGTCATTTTTTCACCGAATCAACAACAAACCCACCCTTTCTACACCCAAAGCGGCCTATCCCTCCATTTTGAGCGAATTTGGACGACGTTTTTGTCGCCGGAGGCGATTTCAAGCGAGACTCCGGCGAAGATCCGACGACCACTTCCGGCTAGTTTTTCGGCGTTTCGTCGCTTCCATTGCCTTCCCCTCCTCATCCCCTACACCTCTACTTGAGTCTCCAGGTTTGATTTTGCCCTTAACTGTGTTAATTGTGGAGAATTGAGTGTGTAGGGTGCATGTTAGAGAACCTTATTGAATCTTGGGATTTTTGTGAAATTGATTGAGGGGAATGCATGGAATGTGAATGAATTGTGTTGGGAAAAGTCCCCTTTGCTTGTTTGAGCCCTTGTGTGCAAGAATTTGGCCAATTTCATGCTTAACTTAATAGTGCACACAAGGTGTTCGATGAAATGCCTGTTTTCCATGCCATGTTGTGGCCACCAGTTGGGGCCCTTAGTGATGTAGTTTGAGGGTGTATTTGTTATGGATGTGAACCTTAAGTTGCCTATTTTCTCGTGAATGTGCACCCCCACCTAGATTATGCTTGATTTATCGAGTTGTTGACCCCCGAACTATGGATGAAACCATGGTTAGGCTGTTTTCTGTTCTTAAGTGTGGGGGTGTGCTTAACCTTTTCTTTGGCTCTTTTGGTTCCACTTTGGGTTGTTCTTTTGCAGGGCAATGGCGAAACCTGATCTCAAGCACCCGTTCATCCGGGATCTAAGGAGGGGCCCCACCGCCGACGGCTTCAAGGAGGTCCTGGAAACCCCGTTCGGGTCACACCATTGCTGGTCCAAACGGGAGTTTCGGCGATTGCACTGCTACGAGCAACTCTCCGCTGCCAACACCGCATGGTGCCGTCTGCTCATCCTCTGCGAGAAGGTCTACTACGAGCCCGTGTGGGAGTTCTACACGACCTTCAAGTACAATTCCACGACCGATTGGCAGGACGGTACAGCCGTCCAATTCAGGCTGGGCAGTGTCCCCCGGTCCATGAGCTACCACGAGCTGGCCGAGGCTCTCGACCTCGACGACCGTCGGCACTACATCACCGAGGTCACTGATCCGCCGGAGGTGGACTTCGGGAGGCTGTACACCCGCCTGGCTCGGCCAGGCCAGACGCGTCCCTTTCGGGCCGGGAGGACGAAGGCATCTACCCTGCTGCTCGACAACCGCCTTCTCCACCACCTGCTAGCGAAGTCTTACACCCCTGCAGCAGACAGTGCCAACGCCATCACGAAGAGGGCCATGTACTTCATCCATTCGATCCGCCAGCACAACCATCCTCTCCACCTGGGTTCGGTGGTGGCCAAGACCTTCGAGAAGACTGCTACAGAATTGAAGAGCCTCCACTGCGGCCCCCTCATCACCCGACTGGCCACCTACTTTGGCCTTTCACTGCAGGGGTGCACCCAGGAGGGGGACACCCTCATCTTTGGCAGCAAGACGATCGGGAAGATGCAGCTGCTGTGGGAGAGGAACGGTGTTCTATGGGTCGATGGGTTTCCGGAACCTCCGATCCCCGCGGAGCCCGAGCCAGAGGACCAGCCAGCGGACCAGCAAGAGGGCCAGGAGGAGGAGGCCGGTGAGGATATTCACCCAGAGGATGTGGATGCTGCTGCTGATGATCCACCACAGACTGACTTCCATGCCGGAGGCAGCAGCTCTGCTTTCCTGGGCCAGGATTACTTCTCTTCCCAGTTCGAGAAGTTGCGGCTCCAGAACCAGCAGATCCTCGACCAGCAGATGCAGTTCCATCTGCAGTACGCGGCCGACCAGGCCGAGTTCCGACGCAGGATGGATGCTTATGACGAGCGCCTGGACATGATTTAGACACAGCAGGGAGTGACTCTCGCCCACGTCGAGCGGGAGAAGCGCCGTTCACGGCGCATGCAGGAGGTTCAGCAGCACCTGCTCCAGCTGCTCCCGAGCGAGCAGCCTGTCTGGAGGACTCCCCACTTCCCCATGCCCCAGCTGACGTTGATGATGGTGCTGCTGGCGCTGCTGACGATGACGCGTTCATGAACGACATCGACCTCGACGATCTTGGCGACGAGTAGGCAGTACTCGTTGCCCGTCTCAGTGTGTTTTCTTTTTCGTTTTAGACTTTTGTGTGTTTGTTCCATCTGTGCGGAGCTTGAACTTAGTGTCGTTTGTTTTTGTTTTTGGTTTTCCTTTGTGGTTTGATGTAGCCGTCTGGGCTAACACTTCTCCCTAACGCACAGTGTGCTAGTGTGTTTCTGGTGTTCAATTTGTGCAGCATTGTCCATTCTCCCGTTTGTGTCTCGCTGACTGTTCCACTTCCAGTCCCCCAGCAGTGTTCCAATCCGGTAACATCGTTCCCTTTATCTTTCCCTCTACTCCATTGAGGGCAATGTCGTGCTTAAGTGTGGGGGGGGGGGGTGCTTTGTATCGGTTGGAATATATAATTGGGTGCTTGGAGCCTAGTCCGCTTTCCGAATCTTACGATTTGAGGGCTCCAAGTACTGCTGTTGGATCATATTGGCACTGTGTTTTGATGGATGAATTGATTGGTTTTCGGATTAATGCATGAACGTGGAGTTGTTTGCGACTAGGACAACCTATGATGAGGACCGCGATGTGCAGTAGAACGATGTAGGGGTTCAGTTTTTCAACTGTTTGCTTGCCAACTGTGACTTGGATCGATTACTTGTTCTTGACAGTCGTTTATGCATCTAGTTCAGGGTATCAGAATGTGAGATAGAGCATATAGGTAGCCATGTCAGATTTGAGCCTGCTCGTTTCTTTCTTGTGCGATAGATCCCTCTTCCATGATGTGTAGCATTCACGTTGTCACTAGCTAAGATGATGGGGGCATAGGATTAGCCCACGCCCAAAACTGACTGTCCTGATGTGTCATATCCCCTAGTCAGCCCCTTGAGCCGTGTGTTATCTCTTCTTTTGGTCTCTAACGAAAAAAATCACCCTTGTTGCATCTTTTAGAAGGTTCCACAGAGTGATTTTTACATATTCTCTCCTGTTTCTGCTAAAGTTTATGCGAGTGTTGGAGGTAGTGCTTAAAAGTTGGGCAGATGTTTGAAATATGTGCAGAAGTGGTGGCTCTCTTAAGAAATGAAAAGAAAAATGAAAGAAAAACAAAGAAAAATTGAAATCAAAAGAGAGCCACTACCAAAAATCTGAATAATGCCCATTGAGTAGTGTTTCTTAGCAGTCTGGCTTGGAAATGCTGATGTTTATACCTCCTTCGCTTTTGTGCTCTTGAGATGTTGAGTATTGCAGAATAGCAGAAAGAAAATACCGGTTTGTTTGACTGTGATTGTGTGTTTGGAAAATGTGGAACCTTGTGCTATGAATATTTCCACCACTTAAAAGGCCTTTTCCCCATGTCCAAGACCCTAGCCAGTCATTTGAACCTGTGTCTAAGACCTCCTGATTAGTTAGTGGTGACACCCCATATGTGAACTCTAGCATTTAGAGGCTGCCATCATGGTGAAGAGATGATAGGGATTGAGAGAAATAGCATGCGCATTTTTCGCATTAAATTGTCCTGACCCCACTGGTCGAGAGTGAGTGATTCATTTTCATATTCTTTATACTCTTGTACCCCGGTGAGGACCTAGATTGCTCGGTCTCTTTTCTGATGTCTTGAGTTGGATGCATGAGTTGACTGTTTTGAGTGAGTGGTTGAGTCATGTCTAGGTTGGCTAGTGCACAGAAGGGAGACTCTTCCTTTACTCGATTTTGCTGCACTCGAATGTCCTTTGTGGTGGTTGTCCAGGTTGCTATTGAGGTTGTTCATGTGTTGATGTTTGAAAACCAGTACGATTCAAGTGTTCTGTGCCTTTATGACTTGTCCCCAAAGTTGGTTGATTGAAATATGTAAGCTTACCTGGTGTCTGACTTGGTTTGCTTGGGGACAAGCAAACGGTTAAGTGTGGGGGAGTTTGATAAACCATTATTTACACATGTTTTTACCCTCGTTCTTACACCGTTTGAGGTGTTGATTCTCGTGTTTTAGGCCGATTTCACGCTAGGTTGTGCTTGTTTGTGATATTTCAGGTCCTAGTACGTGAATGGAGGCTTGGGAGCGAGTCTGGGGTCGATTGGACGAAGATCGGACGCGTGGCGAGGTGTCAAGGAAGCTGCACGGGCAGACCGATGCCTCACACGGCCGTGCAAAGGACCAGCCAGGCCGTGTGAAATTGTGCGAGAGCATGCACGGGCACAAGTGGTTTT